TCTTCCCTCTTCTCCCCCCCTAGCCGCCTTCTGCCTCTTCCTTCTTCTCCTCCCCTACCCGCTTTCTGCCTCTTCCCCCTTCTCCTCCCCTACCCGCTTTCTGCCTCTTCCCCCTTCTCCTCCCCTAACCGCCTTCTACCTCTTTATTCTTCTCCTCCCCTACCTGCCTTCTGCCTCTTCCCTCTTCTCCTCCCCTACCCGCTTTCTGCCTCTTCCCCCTTCTCCTCCCCTACCCGCTTTCTGCCTCTTCCCCCTTCTCCTTCCTTACCCGCTTTCTGCCTCTTCCCCCTTCTCCTCCCCTACCCGCTTTCTGCCTCTTCCCACTTCTCCTCCCCTACCTGCTTTCTGCCACTTCCCCCTTCTCCTCCCCTACCCGCTTTCTGCCTCTTACCCCTTCTCCTCCCCTACCCGCTTTCTGCCTCTTCCCCTTCTCCTCCCCTACCCGCTTTCTGCCTCTTCCCCTTCTCATTATTCTTCACATTCATTCCTATATGTCTAACATGACGTGTTGGTGGGTCTTAGGGAGACAGAAGAGCTGAGGAAAGTCTTCTGGTTCTTGGTGAGACATTTGCTGAGACATGTTCAGTCACAATGGCCGCCTGACACTACGTAATGGAAGGCACACAGAGAGAACAGACAATACATTTCACTCTACATATAGAACTCTCATATCTGATACATTATATATCTTTCCTCACTCACCGGTCACTCTCATGGTCTCCTCTCTTTGGTCTCGGAGATTTGTTGCAGGGTGGAAGGTTCTACAGATATAGGTCACTCCGTCATCGTCTGTCACGGTTGCTTTCATGGTCAGAGCGCTGAGAACACTATAAGATTTATCCTCATGTTCATCTCCCTTTAGATTGTGTGAATATTTCTCATTGTGAGTGGTGGAGCCCGCAGGAGTCCATGTTACCAGTTCGGTCTCTTGCTGGTTCCGGTCCTTCTTCAGCCAGGTGATGGTCAAAGCTCGCGGTTTGAATGCGTTGATTGGACAGGTCAGAGTCACCTGCTCATCATGGATGACACGGCCCGGGGCCATGACCGATAACAGTTTAGGGGAAACTAGAAGAAAATGAAATACCAGGTTTGACTTTGTGCTCCTTATTCCAGTCACATGTCCATAGCAACCAATCCTACAAATCTATTCATTCCTCTCTCTAAACCACCTTGGATTGATGGCTCTGATTGGCCAGACATCATGTGACCCCACTTTGTTGTCTGGTTGTATTTCACCTCCCCCCATATTTAAAGCCGGTGTAGGTATGTAGTATTTTTCCAAGTTTTGTGTTTTTGGGATCTTGTAGTGAGCTTTGGCCAGCTTAGCCGTGTGTCTGTTCTGCAATCGCGGCGCGTATTACCGCAGTCACTTACCGCAATGAGCTGATTCCAACCGGGTGTGCTAGAGCTATCATTCTGTGTAAGGGATGTTTAATACTTCAGCCAATCAGCAGGTTTGGTGGGCCTGACCCTAACCCTAGGCATGCTGGGAGTGGTATTCAATATCTTAGGCTCTTCCAGGCCCTTTGAGGATGTTGCTGTAACACCTTTCTCATCCTAGACCTTAGAACCCGGAATGCTGGAAGGATCTCCCCCCACGGGAGGACCCCTCGAAGATGCTGGCTGCCATTAGACATGTAAGCCAGCAAAAAAATGGTTTTGTTTTGTTTTGGATGTTTCGTTATTTGGTTTTTCGGGTTTCAGGTCTGAAAGTCAATTCGTTTCGGCATTTGGATTCAGATTAATCCAAATTTCATTAATTTTGGATGAGTTAAATGATCATTACCAAATAAAATTTGTTGCAGAAAAGTGTCATCATATGTTTACTTTCTTTTTAATTTCTTACACCACAAACAAAACAAAAACAGCGTGGGGTCCCCCCTCCTAAATCATACCAGACCCTTTAGGTCTGGTAGGAATTTTAAGGGGATCCCCAAGGTTCAGTGTTGTTAGTGGTGTCCCCCAAGGTTCAGTGTTATTAGTGGTGTCCCCCAAGGTTCAGTGTTGTTAGTGGTGTCCCCCAAGGTTCAGTGTTGTTAGTGGTGTCCCTCCAAGGTTCAGTGTTATTAGTGGTGTCCCCCAAGGTTCAGTGTTGTTAGTGGTGTCCCTCCAAGGCTCAGTGTTATTAGTGGTGTCCCCCCAAGGTTCAGTGTTATTAGTGGCGTCCCCCAAGGCTCAGTGTTATTAGGGGTGTCCCCCCAAGGTTCAGTGTTGTTAGTGGTGTCCCCCAAGGTTCAGTGTTATTAGTGGTGTCCCCCAAGGTTCAGTGTTGTTAGTGGTGTCCCCCAAGGTTCAGTGTTATTAGTGGTGTCCCCCTAGGTCCAGTGTTATTAGTGGTGTCCCCCAAGGCTCAGTGTTATTAGCGGTGTCCCCCCAAGGTTCAGTGTTATTAGTGGTGTTCCCCCAAGGTTCAGTGTTGTTAGTGGTGTCCCTCCAAGGCTCAGTGTTATTAGTGGTGTCCCCCAAGGTCCAGTGTTATTAGTGGTGTCCCCCAAGGCTCAGTGTTATTAGCGGTGTCCCCCCAAGGTTCAGTGTTATTAGTGGTGTCCCCCAAGGTCCAGTGTTATTAGTGGTGTCCCCCAAGGCTCAGTGTTATTAGCGGTGTCCCCCCAAGGTTCAGTGTTATTAGTGGTGTCCCCCAAGGGTCAGTGTTGTTAGTGGTGTCCCCCCAAGGTTCAGTGTTGTTAGCGTTGTCCCCCCAAGGTTTAGTGTTAGTGGTGTCTCCCCAAGGTTCAGTGTTGGTAGTGGTGTCCCCCAAGGTTCAGTGTTATTAGTGGTGTCCCCCAAGGGTCAGTGTTGGGCCTCTTACTGTTTAATCTGTTTATAAATGACATAGAATTGGGGATTAGAAGTCCTATTTCTGTGTTTGCAGGTGACGCAAGTTACGTAGTGGAATTCAGTCTTTACAGCAGGGGCGCCCACAATTTTTCGTCTGGAGATTTACTCCAAAACACCTGTATTCAGGGGCGGGAGGGGGCGTGGCGGTGCATTGAAGTCAATGGCACTGCAGCCATGCCCCTTGCCCCCAGTGCGATTGCCCGCACCCAGAACCCAGGCACATTAGTGCCTTCGTCCCAGTCCAGTGCGATCAGCAAAATGCTGCGAGCACTATTTTTGCAGATCACACTGGACTGGATTGCAGTCACTAATGTGCCTGCGTTCCGGGGCGGGGGGCATGGCTGCAGTGCCATTGACTTCAATGCACCGCCACGCCCCCTCCCACCCCTGAACGCAGGGAGTCGGCCGGCTTACATTCCTAGAGGCCCCGGCATCCTGTCCTCCCGTGGTGCTCGTGTGGCCGACGTTGCACATGGGGTGTCCCGCCCCTTTCCATCTGCAGCGTCTGACACATTCAGCCGGCAGCCACACGATCACCGCGGGAGCATAGCCGTAGCCACCTCCTTTTGCACCTGAGGCAACAAAAAAAACTCCACCCCAACAGGCGTTCGACGTCACCCAGCGCCCCGCCTCCAGGATTTTGTTTTACTTTTTACTATTTTTTATTTAATTTTTAATGTTTTTTATTTACATTTTTTTTAACTGTTGGGGGCTTCGGGGAAATATTGGGGGTCTAAACTGCCTTTCTGCAGCATCTGTTCTAAATGAATGGAAAGTACAGAGGCTCCTCCCCATTCATTCAGAAAATATTTACTATCATCCAGTTTCTGAATGGGGAGGAGCCTCTGTACTGAGTGCTTCTCCCCATTGAGAAACCCATGAATGAACAGGAAGTGATGTAAATCACATCCTGTTCATTCATAACTGAGAACACATAGTACTATGTGTCCCCAGTTATTTACAAACACTGGAGTGATCAGCTGATCGCTCCGGTGTTTGCCCTGCACAGAGGATTGGAGCACATCACTGATATGTACCGATCCTCTGCCGTTTGGCCACGCACAGGGGGGCTCAGTTTCTCCTCTGGATCCCCCCTGCTCTCCTGGGCAGAGGCAGCAGGGAATCCGAGGAGAAGTAAAAGAAGCACTTCACCCGCGGGGGGGGGCGGAGGATGGAGCCGCTGTCACAGAACTAAGGCCGAGCGGTGAGGGGAGAGAGAGGCGTCGGCTGTCAGAACCTGTGACAGAGGCTCCGTCCTCTGACACACACACACACACCCGCCGGCAGCAGCAGATCTTTGGGCATAGCATTCTGTTGTACAGAGTGCAGGGGTCAGGAGCGTAAAGTACAGAGCGCAGGGGTCAGGAGCGTAAAGTACAGAGTGCAGGGGTCAGGAGCGTAAAGTACAGAGTGCAGGGGTCAGGAGCGTAAAGTACAGAGCGCAGGAGTCAGGAGCGTAAAGTACAGAGAGCAGGGGTCAGGAGCGTAAAGTACGGAGCGCAGGGGTCAGGAGCGTAAAGTACAGAGCGCAGGGGTCAGGAGCGTAAATTACGGAGCGCAGGAGTCAGGAGCGTAAAGTACAGAGCACAGGGGCCAGGAGCGTAAAGTACAGAGTGCAGGGGTCAGGAGCATAAAGTACAGAGTGCAGGGGGTCAGGAGCATAAAGTACAAAGCGCTGGGGTCAGGAGCGTAAAGTACGGAGCGCAGGGGTCAGGAGCGTAAAGTACAGAGTGCAGAGGTCAGGAGCTTAAAGTACAGAGCGCAGGGGTCAGGAGCGTAAAGTACGGAGCGCAGGGGTCAGGAGCGTAAAGTACGGGGCGCAGGGGTCAGGAGCGTAAAGTACAGAGCACAGAGGTCAGGAGCGTAAAGTACGGAGCGCAGGGGTCGGGAGCGTAAAGTACAGAGTACAGGGGTCAGGATCGTAAAGTACAGAGTGCAGGGGTCAAGAGTGTAAAGTACAGAGCGCAGGGGTCAGGAGCGTAAAGTACAGAGCGCAGGGGTCAGGAGCGTAAAGTACAGAGCGCAGGGGTCAGGAGCGTAAAGTACGGAGCGCAGGGGTCAGGAGCGTAAAGTACAGCGCGTAGGGGTCAGGGGTGTAATGTAGAGTACTCGCACCCACATACATACATTCCACCGAGCAGACTCAGTACCTGGCTGAGCTAAGCGTTCTCTCAGCTTGGCTGACTTTCACTTACAGATGAATGCGATGGAGCAATATTAGGTTTACATATTAGAGATTGGGAGGCAGAGTAGATACAACCTTCCTGCTGTCTCCTGTCCTCTCCTCTCCTGGCTGTCTCCTGTCCTCTCCTCTCCTGGCTGTCTCCTGTCCTCTCCTCTCCTGGCTGTCTCATGTGCTCTGCTGTCCTAGAAGGCTGTCTCCTGTCCTCTCCTCTCCTGGCTGTCTCCTGTCCTCTCCTCTCCTGGCTGTCTCCTGTCCTCTCCTCTCCTGGCTGTCTCCTGTCCTCTCCTCATGCTGTCCCAGGACATGCTCTGGAGACTGATACGGGGGGACAGTAATGCTGCAGCACATCTACTGACAGTTGGGGGTATTTTATGGACATGTGATAAGGAGGTGCAGCTCAATATGCCCCCCACATGAAAACATTGCACTCTGGGCACCTGGCCCGTTCTGCCCACCCCTTGTTCCGGGAACTGTACACCCTTTCCTGTTTATAGTGTCTGAAGTCTGCAACTTAAAGAGGAACTCCAGGAATTTCAAGTTAACCCTTGCAGTGGGGCCACCCTCACACTGCAAGGGGTAACTGCTCGTTTTGGTCTATAAAGAAAATATACTTACCTGGTCTTCAATCCCATCTGGCTGCTAGACCGATCCCTGTAGCCTTTTCATTCCCCCAAGCTCCAGCAGTCTGAGCCCCGCTGACGTCATCACATCTATGGAAGGTCCATTCACTTGCAGTAGATGTGAGGATGCCGAGGGATATTCCACAACCCGAACAAAAGGAGAGAGGGGTGAGTGGTCACCACTGCATGATCGAGGATTGTGTGCGTTCATCTTCTTTATTCTGTTCCCTAGTCCAAAACGGGCAGTTAACCCTTTTAGTGCGGGGATAGTCCCACTGCAAGGATTAACTTGTGAAATTCCTGGAGATCCGCTTTAATTAAACTGCCAACTGACCTCCATTGAGGACCAACTCAGAGACTGTCCCCTCCATTACAGCCACTCTACTTCCAGTGACCATTGTACAAGCAGTGGACAGAGAGGTCTGTGGTGGCTTCTCACACCGAGGATGGCCCTCATCTTAGATGACATCTCACCCGGTTATGTCCATCCTCAGTGTTTGTCTCCTTTCCTGAAAAAATACAATCAATAGTAAAGAGTCTCACCTCCTATAACGCTGAGTGTCCTGAGTACCGAGGCCGGAGATGTCAGTGCCGGGTGTGTAACATGTACAGATAATTCCGCTCCATTATCCAGCTCATAGCTGGGAGTTATGTGAAGAGTACACTGACAGGTGAATGTACCAAGCCTCTTCTTACTGATACGAGGCTCCACCTCCAGCTGTAGAGGTCCGTCCTCGTGTCCTGCAGACCCATTCATCAGTGGTCTTCCCTGCTCCACATCTACACGCCCATCACCCCCTCCACCATCATCTCTGCTCATTGTGACCGGAGCCGGGTGACCTCCAGATTTCCAGGTGTAGATGGTCCTCCTCTTCTCCTCCCCAGATCTTCTAATACACACAGAGAGTTCTATGGCGTTGGGTCGGAAGTTCATAATCTGACAAGTCAGAGTCGTCCTGTTCATGTCAATCAGCTTATCATTTCCGGTGATCTCTGACAGAGTGGGAGGATCTGGAAGAGGAAATCATTGTATAGATTATTACATTGTGTCCCCGGACAATGGATATGACATCTCTGCTGGACTCTGCACACAGGACTCCTCTGTACTCATTGCTTATTTCCGGGAACAATCCCGGCACAGACAGTACAACACGGCACTCAGACTCCGGATGATGAGGTCACAGTGCACATTCCTTACCTTTCTTCATAAATCTGACGTAGAGGAACCCAAATATTCCCAGAAATCCTGCAATTAGAAGTGTCCCAAGCACAGCTCCTATAACGGCTCCTCTGTTGTCTTCTCTCTCTGTAATAATGAAGAACAAAATATCATCCGGATGTAGAAATGTTCCCAAACATGAAAATGATTGCCGGCTGATAATATCTGAACCGAGTGGTATCACCACAGATACACCCAACCCTGCCAGACACCCTACAGGACTATGTATGAAGGTGTCTGAGGGAAGGACGGCTCCCGCCATGTGAATAGAGCAGCAGACTCTTCCTTGTCACCCAGATGATAAAACTCTCCGTAGATTGGACTATGTGCTGTGTGAGCGTCAGGAAGTTTAGGACAGACTTTGGGTAGATATAGTGGAGGACAAATTCCATGTCATAGAAATATTAAGTGGAATAGAGAAGTGACGGCAACATACACACAGACCTCCAGAAGATGCTTCCAGAAGTGAATGGTGGAGTGATGGCTGACACATTTCCAGGGGCACTCCAGCACCACGGATAGAGGCGGAAGGATGGAGAAGATGGGTCTCCTAATGACACTAATGTTGATAATGGGGACCTGTTCCTCTGTGCTCATTCTTCCATAGCAGGGAGTTGTCAGGGTTTAGTTCCGGGGTGGCATCTCATGGTGTTTAGAGTCCGGACACTTCACCCAACCAAACATCTAATCTGCTATGTGACAGACGGGTAGTGGTAGTCACCCTGAAATCTATGGTACGTATTGTAATATAATAACAGATATTACTGACCTGTCACTGTGAGGGTGAAATTCCTGGACAGCTCATTCTGGAGGGATCGGTGGGTGATAAGACAGGAATAAGTGTTCCCATCATCCTCTATCTTGGGGTTCAGGGTCAGTAGGCTTGTCACATTGAATGTCCCATCTGAATTCTCCAGCACACTCTTCGCACAGGTCCAGATGTCTAGGAGCTCACACTCAGAGGATCCCTTACGATACTGAGCCCAGCGGATGGAAACATCTTTTGGATAAAAATTGTGGACGTCACACGTCATTGTCTTCTCCGTCCCCAGCTCGATGGTTCGATTGGACGGTGTCACCTCAGCTGATGGAGGAACTGTGTAGAGAATTATCATCATTGTGATGCAGCAAAGACAGAAATCACATTCACAGATTGTGCCGCTTATAACACTCGGTAGGGATCAGCGTGCTGTATATAAATTGCTGCCCTGTAAAGGTGGAGGAGATGGAAGTGACCCGGGAGACACCTCCAGTCAGTAGATGTAATCATCTAGTCTATCACAGCTGCCACTAGAGAGGACATTTCCTCTGGGAGAGATTCCTCAGGAGCGCTGAGTTACTGAAGGACGAGGAAAGTTCACTTCAATTTCACAATTGTATAAAACACAAATCCCCGTTTACAGACATCCCAACCTGCAAAAACTCATTTCAGGGAGGTGTCCTTTTTTTTCTTTCACAAACTTTTTATTACATTTTCCAAACATGCAGAACATAACGTACAGCAAGGTTACTGTGCTGATGCAGCAGCGGTAACAGTTAAAGGCAAGGATGACATGAACAAAACATAAATGGGAACATAGTGAAATTGGTGGAGCAGATGGTCCAAACCTTCTCCTAAAGAAAGCCAGCGTGTAGGACAATGCCTTTGTACTCTCTGCTGGGCAACATTGCAGAACTCTTGAAACTGTTTTAGGTCTTCTCTTCTCTTAGAACTTTTCTCAAAGTAGTAATAGATGTCAATGAGCAGTTCTTCAGGTGACATTGAGAGCTCCTTAGCCGCAGTTTTGGCACAAATGTTGACCAGGTGACTTGGACAGCCAATATGAGCGGCCGGTGCTTTCACTCTTGACAATAGAGAGTTGTTTTTGCCAATCATAACATTGCAATTATCACTGCTAAACCCGACACAATTAGACCACTCAAGGTCTTTGTCATGCATGGATGATGCAATGGAGTTGAATATGTTTTCAGCTGTGGCATCATTGCACACCGGAATGTCTACAAATCCAACTGTCACCTTATCCTGTGTTTCATTATAGTACCTGACTATGGCACATTCCTTCTCACACATGATATCACTGCTTTTGTCAACCAAAATACTATATGGTCTTTTTTCTATCCTAATGAACTCGTACATTTCCTCTGAACATTCGGGTTCCAGTGCCATGTTCACGATAGCTGCGGTCTTTGTTGCTGAACAGGCAAAGTTTTTTGCTATTTCTGAATCAGGAAACATTTTCCTGCATAGCTGGCCTGTGTGCTTACACACCTGGAATGGCAGGTTATGCTCCACAACGAAGGATGTAAAGCATACCTCAGCTCTAGTGACCTTCTCTGTCAGACTTTGGTTTTCTGCTGAAAAGAATTGTGAAATACTTGAGCAGCCTTCCCTGCGCTTAGCCTCCCTGATATGCAGAGGTCCCTAAAAGAAATAAAAGCATAAGGTGTACCCTCTTTATATTGTGTTATGTAATAGGTTACATACATACTTTGTTTTTGTGATTGCCCCTAATCTAAGTCGGGCCATACACCTATTTCTTTTCATTCAACCCGCGGGCTGAAGGAACAAAATAGACCCGATTCTTCCATCAACACTAACAGCATGTCGATCAAGTAATCCCGCTGTTAGCATTTTATTCTTGCCGCCGACACCTGTCAGAATACCCGACAAGAGCGGGCAGCTCATTGGCTGCTGGCTCTGATCGATCAAAGATTTTCCAGCCGGCTCCTTCGATCAGCTGATCGAGGAATGCCGATCGAAAGGGGGCCGACAGCCCGACACGCTGTGCGAATTCCAGCTGGTTCCTCAAAAAACAGCCACAATATGAACAGTGTATGGGCACCATAAGTCTTGTATGCAGAAAATCTGTAACAATAAAATATGTACTTAGGGGTCTATTCACTAAGCTGCCGTAGGCAGCCGAGTGAATGACCGACCTGAAGTGAAGTGAGCCGAATAGTGTTCGGCTATTCACTTCAGGCTGGTACGGCTGATTTCAGCCGTATATCGGCTTGCTTCACATGGCTTCGGGTTAGCCGAACATGCTCAGCATGTTCGGCCGACCCAAAGTGCAGAAGGAGTTCGACTCAGCCGATCTAACATCTGGATCGGTTTAGCCGACCCTCCAGCAGGCTACTCACTGCTGTTCGGTCTATTCTTATAGATGCTGAACAGCAGTGAGTGAATAGCTGAATACCGCTGAGCAGCATTCGGCTCGGCTGTTCTGCTCGGTCCCTGTGGAGAAAGGAGCACCGAGGCAAGCCAGGACATGTCTGCTGCTTCTCTCCATTGTAGCCTCTCCAGAACAAAGGACACATGAGGGGAGGGGGTTAGTTGCTCAGAGAGAATACACAGAGGCAAATCACACGGAACCCGGCGTGCGGGGTGTTTATTGGGGAATTCAGGTATACAAAGCAAGGTACAAAGGCCGGGGTTAGGTCCTGGGGGGTTGCAGGCCACGGGGAGGGTCCACCCAGAAAGTAGGCAACGGGCCAAGGAAGGAGTAGATCCAGAGTCACAAGGCTAGTAGTCCAGGGGTCAGAGGTGCAGCAAGAGGTAATCCAACAGGTAACAAGGCACCGTGTGAGTACATCCAGTACGGGTAGAACAACAGATCCCAGCAGTCCTCACAGCAGCAGTGGAGCAGAACCTGGAAGGGTTAAGTCCGTATCCCTTGAATCCACAGACAGAGA